TCAACACTTATGCCATGTTGCCTTATTCAACAGATTAAAGCTTTTTCTTACAAGACATACGCTAATAAACTTTATTTTTTCCAGGTCTAGATAAAGCACACTTTGCAGAATCATTGTTTTTTTTTTTCAAGATTTATTTTTGAAAATTTAGTTGGAAGTTTGCAGGTTAAGCAAAACAAAGTTCCAGAGAAAAAAAAAAAAAAGAGTTTTTCTACACCATTTCTGAGAAACAGGGAAATCAGCATGACTTGACATTTAAGTTAGGTGGACAAAAAATGCGGAAGAGAGGTTTCTTCTCCTTAGAATGGAAGAAGTGACATATTTTCCACCCAGACATCAGAACCACACAGGAAATGTCACATTTATTTTAACAATTTTGGGATCTAAAAAGTTTGTGTTTAAGAGGGGAGCCCCGCTCGTAGCATTGATTGTGTGAAATGCTGTATATTAGCCAGAGGAATCATTTAAAATAACTCATATGCGCGTCACCTCTTTAGGTCACAAAGTCCACACACAGTATCCCTTTAAACTGATTTGTTGTTTGTTACTTATAAATAAGGACCAAAGTTTCCTGGTGGAAAGCACACATGACAGCGACCTGCAACTTCAGCATGCATTGAGGAGAGATGACGGTGCAGAGGCCCTCATTCACTGACAGCGCTCCTACAGTATGGCGCTCACTGAAGGCTAAATATTGCTGTGATTTGCTAATTATGTGCGGGAACAAAGACTTTATAAACGTGGATTAGAAGCTATTTAAAGAAGCTCAGGACATCATCTCAGCTGACTGCCATCTGCTGCCTTTAATCAACACATGTTCATTACTTTCTCAGGGTTGTACTGATTTTACTTACATGGTTTCCGTTTCTCACGCACAAATCCTTGATATAACAGTCCTGCTAGTTTTTTTCTTAAATAGTGTAAATCCTGTTTAATTCTATTGCTAACTATATTTTAATATACTGAAATTGCTTGGAAAGCATTATTTTCTTAGCTTCATACCTATTTTATAGCCAATTGAAGGCCATCAATTTGTAAATTACTATAAAGTTCTTAAATTATAATTTTTCTTTTAATGTAAACACGAGACATGATCACATCAGATAATCATATTGACTTGTCTAACCACACACGCTAAAATAGTACGGATACGTTTTTATTTTTTTCAGATCTGTGGATCTTAAAACGAATAATTTAATTCATTAAGTAATAATAAAAACACTTATTTTTTATAATTTAACCTCTAGTTGCATTTTAGGTTCCGAAAACCAGAACGTTTTCCAAATTCTTCGATGTATTAGATCATAAAAAGTAGCTGCATAGTTACTTTAGTAACGAGTTACTTTCATTGAGCAGTAACTGTGTTACTTAGTTATTTTCTTGCAGAAGTGACTAGTAATAATAACTAGTTACTTTTTTAAGTAACGTTCCCAACGCTGCATCTACCTAATCTACAGGTCAGGCGCCCCCTGGTGGCTGAACCTTACACAGCATTGCTTTAATGAACTGCAGGACTGTGTCTTTGAACATGTGAACAGTTGCCCTCCTGTTGTCCCCTGCAGCTGCTGGAGCAGGCTCTGGTGATCGAGGAGCAGTTGCGGCGGGCTGCTTACTTAAACATGACCCAGGATCCGAGTCACCCAGCCATGGCTCTGAACGCTCGCTTCGCAGAGGTGGAGTGCCTGGCGGAGTCGCACCAACACCTTAGCAAGGAGTCGCTGGCAGGAAACAAGCCGGCCAACGCTGTTCTGCACAAAGGTTAGTAATAAAACTTGAGACGGCTCTGGTCAGAACGTTGAATCCACAGATTAAAGGTGCATAGATTGGTTGTGCTACAAACAACTTCCATTGCTCTTAAAAAAAACAAATTTTCTGAAGCTTTAAACCATAAAGTAAAGAAAAAAATTAAGTCCAGTTGATGTCAGTAAAAATATCCTTTAAATACTTCAGGTTTCCCCTAAAAACCAACATCCAAACAGCGGAAACTCTGGCAGAGCTGGGTGTTGAGATGTGATGATCTTAAACAAAAATAAAAACAGGTGCAATTGATCCACCTTTTGAGAAAATGGGACCTATGCCCTTTAGGGGTGTGCAAAGTAATCGTCATGACGATGCATCGCGATTCTAATTTTTTGGATCTACTGAATCGATTATTAAAGCCAAGTTTCGATTCTTAATTAAAAAAAAAAAAGGAATAAATAAAATACATAAATGGTTGCCGCACATCAGCCAAAAACAAGTGTAATACTACTTCCAGTCCAGTAGATGTCGCTGCGGATGTGTTGACGCCCGCTGCCTTGTGTCAAAGGCATTTCTGGCCGCCGGATACTGCGACCAGTCATTCATAAACAAAACATGGAGGAGACTGAGAAAATTCCATCACATTTCGAGTTAGATGTTTGGATGAAATTTGGCTTTAAAAACAAAGAAGGTAAAAAAAACTTAATTGATATGACGCACGTAATTTGCAAAAGGGGAAACGTCATACCTTTGAATGTCTCATTTCATTGGTCTAAAGGAACACTGAGGCCATTTAAACGGCACTGATAATATTTGTTTCCAGTATTTGTTTTCATGGCAATACCTCCAAAAGCTTTATGGATGTATTTTTTTCTAACAGTGTTCAGTGAAAATATGGCGATGCATCGCAATATTTGAAGTATTGTGATGCATCGTGACTGAATCGCATCGTGGCATGTGAATCGTGATTCGAATCGTCACTTCTTTGGCAATGCCCACCCCTAATGCCCTTGTTATGACAAAATCTGTGACCCTTAACAACTGTTACGACGATTTATGCGTATAGCTACAAGAGTTAAGTTAAAAATGGAAAAGCAGCCAATTATGAGGGGAGTTTTGCTTTGCTTTTTCTCATTTTTAGAGCAACTTTGATGGGTTTCATTTCAAAAGGAGCAGGTATAAACTTCAAAGTAGCCAAACTGGTATTTTAACCTAATTCTGAGTACTTTTAAAATTCATTAATCCAACACTTCTCCTTAACAGTGTTAGGGGTCGCAGTTTTTGTCGAGTCACAAATTTTGTCGTAACACTCTGAAGTTGAGTCCGTAGCGGTAAATTACACTGCAAATACAATCTAGAAATGTCAAAATTTCTTATATTAAGCGTATTCAGCCTTAATTTGAGCAGGAAACTTAGATGATTTGCCAATTGAATGAGTTTTCATACTATTTAAATAAGATAATTAAATAATATGCACTTAAAATAAGACAATGCAATTTTTTTTTTCTTATTTTAAGTATAAATTGTTCTGTAAGTGTCTCACTTACCTCTTCAATCAAGAACAAATACTTTCCATTTTTTTCAGTGAAACCCCTGTAACTCTTATTCTGCAGTTCTTTAACTGAAAACATTTTAACACCTTTGTTGAAAACTATGGAAACTTGCCAAATAAGATCGAGAGTTTTTGCTCCCTCATGAAGTTTTTTGGACTATTGAGGAGTTTTTTTAAGGAAGTATCTGGCACTACTGTAAAACTATAAACATCACCAAAGCTCTGTCGTCTTGTTAGTTGTTTTCTGGGAAGTGATTTAAAGAGGGAGCTGCTCAGTGAGACAGTGGGTAGGCCTGTTGTCTTGCAGTAAGAAGGTTCTGGGTTCGATACCTGGCTCAGAGTCTTTCTGCAGGGAGTTTGCACGTTCTCCCTGAGCATGCATGGGTTCTCTCCGGGTACTCCGGCTTCCTCCCACAGTTCAAAAACATGACTGTCAGGTTAATTGGCTTCTCTAAATTCTCCTTAGGTGTGAGTGAATGTTGTTTGTCTCTGTGTTGCCTTGCAATGGACTGATTACCCTGTTCAGGGTGTATCCCGCATCTCGCCCGTAGACAGCTGGAGATAGGCACCAGCATCCCTTGTAACGCTGGCTGGGATAAAGCGTGACAGAAAATAGATGGATGGATGGATTTAAAGAGGGGGGAAAAAAATAAAAGTGGATTGAATGTCTCAGTTTTAACACAATCCAAGGCTGCTATTAAAACATTTCTTTATCGTTTTTGTGCAAATTTGCCATTAAGATGCTTTGGGTGTAAACACATCTAAAACTGAAATAAACTTTTACACATTTTGCTGACAAGATTTCCTGCAAACATTCATTCTGTTATGAAGCTGTTTGCTAATGAAAATAACGTCCGGAATCCTGCCAGAACCTTCTAGATGTCTTTAAAATATGCTCTGCATCTATCTTAGCACTATTCATCTTATTGGATAAATTGGCTTCATAAGAAAAACAGAAACCTTTTGCACTTAAGATCATTAAACTTTTATGTTGTGTCAGCGTTTCACCCTGGAAGGAGAACAAATCCGACATTCCTGCTCTTTGGTGAGGGTGTGTGTAAACCTCCCCGGACCTGTGGATACTGTCAGAGACCTTGTCAGGAGTTTGGGTTGGGAGCTGTCTTTAATTCCCCTCTATAATAGGCTCTGAGAAGCCGGGCCAAGTAAATTTAGGCAACCGGATTCGGAGGAAAGTTGAAGAATGAAAAAAAAAAAAACTTGGCAGGCACATAATGGCAGGCAAACAATGATAGATATACAGATCAACCATCTGTTGTGCAATCCTTCCTTCTGCAGGGACCACACGGCTTCGCCTCAAGGCTTCAGTTATGTCGGGGAGATAAGCTTTCACAGCGTTAAGTGATTGCTCCAAACACTTCCTGGCCTGTCAGTGTTTGTATTCTAGTTAGTTTTTTTTTAGCTTGTTTTTATCTATTATGATTAATGATTAAATGAATCTAAGGAAGTGATTAAATAGATCTAGATAATTATATGCCATCTCTTAGAAATACAGGATCAAGAATTTGTCGTATTAAAAAAAGAAAATAAAAAAACGTGCAGCATCAAATGAAAGAGGGTTTTATAATGGAGGAATGTTTGCTTGTTGTTGTCGTTGCAGTGTTGAACCAGCTGGAGGAGCTGCTGAGCGACATGAAGGCCGACGTGACCCGGCTGCCTGCCACGCTGTCCAGAGTCCCGCCCATCGCCGCCCGCCTGCAGATGTCCGAGAGGAGCATCCTCAGCCGGCTCGCAAGCAAGGGCACCGAGACGCACACGCCTCCGGTCCGCAGCCCGCACACACAAGCACATTTCTCTATCCTCGTGGGGACTTTCAGTTGACTTCCATTCATTTCTAACCCATTTCTACAGCCTAACCTTGACCCTTACACTAACCCTAACCATTACAGGTTCATACACAATCCTAATCCTAACCTAAACTCAATTCACACCTTGGTCCTAAACCTAACACGTAATCCTAAAACAGAATTTGTACCCATGGGGACCAGACATCGGTCCCCATGATGTAGATTTATGGAAAATGGTCCCCACCATGTAATAAATACACACCAACACACAGTGTAACACGTAGCCTCAGTCACAAGCTGAAACCTGCTGCAGCCGCTATTGGAAGGATGGAGAGGGTCCAATGAAAACACACCGACTTTTTTATTCCTTCACCTCCTCTTGACTCCACAGGCACTTATTCAGCATTTCCTTTTCACCTTACATGACATCCAGTGAAAAGCGCTTCATGATGAACTTCTCTTTCTTCTTGCAGCCCATACCTCCAGGACCCTACGCCACCCCTCAGAACTACGGCGCCCCCTTCACCCCGGCGCCGCCCAGCGCTCTGCACATGGGAGGAGCCAACTACAGCCAGATGCCGCCGGGATCCTTCATATCAGGTCAGTGTTTCAGGGTTACTGGTTTTTCAAAAGCCCACATTTGTGGTCGAGGGAACATCAGATAATGCTTGATTCTTTTTTTTTTTTCTGTTGGGGGGGGCTCTGATAATTACAGCCGTCAGAGATAATTTAGTGAAGATAAATCCCACAAGGCTTGATCTCTGTGACAGTTTGGTGGTTGATTTAAGAGGGATTTATGTTTCTTTGCTGGGGGCGGGATTTAGCCAAACTAACTGCTGCTGCCTCGGGTGAAGGAGATGAACATAAATCAGCGCAGGTTTGGAGCTAAGGTTTGTCATAAGCCCCTCGGAATAGCAGACGTGGGCACTTCAGGTTCCTATTTGATTGCATGATAAGAAGTGATGAAAATCATCAAATCCTGCAAGACAAATAGAACAAAAACTTCATAATGTTTAATGCGGCAGCATTGAAAAAAAAAAAAAAAGGCTCTGCCTGCAGTTTATTAGAGAAAATATTCAAACCTTTTGAACTTTTATGCTTTTTGTCACGTTTTTACTGCAAATTCAGTTTTTGTTTTATCAGGATTTTATAATTGTAGAAAAAGTGGTACATTGGTGAAGTTAAAGGATACAAGATTGGAGTTCTGCCCTCTTTGCTCTAATATTTAGTCCGGTCGTCCCTTTTCGGAAGTTCTCTATATTTGATCCATGAGAAGAAGTTTAAACTGAAAAGATCTGTCCTTAAGCCATGCAGGGGACTGAAGGAAGATGTGGAAGGAGATAAGATGAAGTCTAACCTTTTAGAGTTCGTTTAAAATGCCATGGGTTGCAGAAAACTGATACCGCACAGGGAAGCGCAGTGGTGTCAGAATCAGCTGTTGGATGCTTTTTTTTCCTGGCATGAACAGGGAGGCAGGTTACTTTGTTTGTAGACCGTTAGAAGCCAAAGCTGAGGTTCTCAGCTTCTAGCAAAGCAGAAAACACGGAGCGTTTAACCCAAACGGCAGTTTAAATCAAAGAGTATCTGTGTTAACACGACCAAGTCAAATCCAGACCTTAGATCAAAAGTCTGTTTGCAGATGCACTCCATCTGTTGTTTAGAGGTAGAAAGGACCCCATGTGACCTGCAGCAACTGGAATTTCTCCAAAGTCTTGATTCAGATTTTTGTTTTTTTATATAGAAAGTCAGATACAGAGGTGAGTAGAAAGTAAAAAGTAGTATTTAAAGAAATTACTGAAGTTAGAGTAGAAATGCATTTGCTAAAAAGGCTGCTAAAGTACAGAGTAACTGATCTGCTTACTACCCATCACCATAACAACTGATTTAATATTTTACAAAATAATGTAAAGTTGAAAAAAATCGTAACTGATATGAAAATACTAGTGTTACACGATTACAGTAATCTTATATAATTCAGTATTTACACCATGAAAGAGTTTTAGGTGGAATGAACACTTTTTAAAATATTTTTTTTCTGAGTTATAGTACTTACAAAATCAATAGTTAAAGTTTGTACAATAGGTTAATTTACAGTAATCTGTTTACCCTATTTCCTCCAAATGACACATCAGACTCAGCAGATGGAAAATAAAATTAAACCGATAAACCCTGAGTACAAAAAAGAAAAGCGTGTTTCTCTTAATGGTGCATATTTGTTTAAAATAAGCTAATTTTCATTAAGTGAAGTTACTCACAAAGGATGGAGCAGGCAGAAATTTTACTCTAGTAAGAGTAGTAAACGTTTATCATGTTTTTACTCAAGTAAATGTACAAAGTACAATGCATAAAAACTACTTATAAAATATTATTTTTTCATAAAGTGACTCAAGTAAAAGTAACTTATTAATAATTAGTTACTATCCACCTCTGGTCATGTATCATTATCCTTCCACTTCGAATCTAGAGATGCATCGAATTACCTGGATCGGATATCGGCTCCGATATCGACTAATTAGCTGGAACCGATATATATCGAGGATTTGATGTCGGATATCAGGGATACAATCCACTGCACTTAACATAGAACTGTTAGTTATTTCTTTTTGCTGCTTTTTTGTCGATAAATAATGTTACATACATTTTATATATGTTAATTTGGTTCCCTTTTTTAACAATGTTCATGTCAGGGCTAAAAATTCTAACTCTCATGGCAAGACATATGGTTCATCAGTCAGTATTGGATATCGGATACTCTCAGCCCAGGTATTGGATTGGATCAGAAAAAGCTGGATTGGTGCCCCTCTAATTTGTGTACTTGTGTTGGTTTGCTACGTAAAATACCTAAAGATCTGTTGCATTTGGCCAAGATAGCATGTCTAAATGTGGGAAAGCTAAAGAAGTGTGTATATTTTTGCAGTCCTCTGTTATCACGGCGAATCAATCTGCAGCAGTGGATGGAGATGGAGGCTGGATTACTGGGTAGAATGAGCTGTTTATGCTCAATAAAACAAGGGATTATAAAGGAGCCAGAACCTGCTCTAGTCAGAAAAGATTTGTCTTTGTGTGGATATCCTGTGAAAAAAAAAACACTTCACAGGTGTTCAGAGCTCCTGAGAATCCTATCAATCCTCTAGCTTGTGTTTCCTATATTTGGTTTAGCAGAATTATTTAGGTTTCACATTAGCAACATAAAGAACTACTTTGTGCTATGAGGCCGTTTTTTTTTTATTTTATCTGCAGCACTTAATCACTTTGATGAGCTTTAGTTGTTAGAAAAAGCAAGGGAGTGTGTGGGGGGGTCATATCTGGGGGAAAAAAAGAAAAGAAAAAACATGTGTGGATCTATTGCAGAGTTTCTGATGTGGCTGACAGATAGACACCTGAAATAGACATTACCAAAAAAAAAAAAGAAAAAAATGTGTTGCTTTGCTATATTAAGGCAAAAACCTCGCCACTCAGCTCAGCAGTTATAGGATCTAATGACAGATTGTGCAATAATGAAGCCCAGTCTGGACAGGCAGGCTTTGTTTCCTCTATAAAGTTTGATTGTTACTAAGTTCAAGGTTTTTAAATTCAATTTGCAGAACAACTAAAACAAAAAAAAAGGTTTTTTGTTTGTTTTTATTTTTCTTTCAGCCTCCTATCTCACCACGCTTGCCTGCTCTCTATCATAGCTCACTGTCACTGTGTGAATTTATTTTCCCGTAATTAGTTCGGCATCTGCATGTGTTCTCCAGACGCACTCTCTGCCCTGCATGTGCGTTCGTGTTCGGAGATGTTTAGATAGCAGAGATGTGGCGGAGATAACTGGTAGAACCTGATACTCCCCCAGTAGCTTCGCTCCAAAAGAAACCACAACAGCCAGCTCCCCCTCTCTCTCTCTCTCTCTCTCTTCTCCTCCTCTCTGTCCCTCCTTGCCTCCCGTTCGGTGTATCTTGATTTTTTTTTTTGTAATTGCAGACTGAGACATCTGTCAAAGGCATTGCATTTCAACGAGCCAGGGGCCTATCGCTGAAAATGTCATTATGCTCGGCCCGTCTGAGTCCGAGTGTGCCAAGAAAACATTCTGACTTTGTACCAAGGTATTTTCAGAGGGAAGCAAACCGCAGCAGGCCTGGTTGTGTAAACGTTGTGTTGTGACTTGTGAACGTGCGCAGGGCAGGGCCCCTGCCGTTTGGTCGCGCAGAAATAGTTGTGCTTCTCCCGTGGTTTTTTTTTTTTTCTCTTTTGACTCACCGGGGGCTGTAAGACGGGCCAAGCCTCGTGCAGCCCCCAAAACCTCTGGCAGATTATGAGACCGCATTTACAGTCCTGATTGGGGTCGTGCTGCTTCCTGACCTTTTATGATCCAGCTAGCAGAAGCAGGAGGAGGCGGACCGGCGTTAAAATAACAATCCTCCAATTTTTGCCACCTTGTAATTTCCTACTACATTAATGGCAGTTTATTGAAAGAATGTCCCGCACTCGGGTACACAGAAAATACCCACAACTAAAGTACACATCCACTGCTTTAGCTGCAAATTTCTAAATGCGAGTCTGCAAAAGTTTTCACAGTTGAAGGAAAGTTATAGTTTCGAAAATATTTTAAAATAATTTTTTGGGTTTATTCTTTTAACCCAACGCTTGCTACATTTAGGATCACATTGAAAGCCTGATCAGATCAAAAACGTATTATGGAAACATGTCAGACTGAAGATTCTGATCCAATCAGTTCATCTGATCGCCATTCCTATAGGCGTCCATGTTAACACCGGTTTGGATATTTGGAGTAATGTGTGCAAGACCAGCATGTGATTTTTCTCTTTACTAACCTTCATTCACTGACTCCTGGTCCTTGGTGGAGAAGGTGGATCTAAATGTTAATGCCCTCTTTCCCTGTGGTGAAGGAGTGTTCCTCTGAGCCTTTAACTAAAATGACCACCAAAAAAAAGTATGGATACAAAGATGGGACAAAGATCCATGGACTAAACAACACCAGCAGCCACAAGCAAAGACCAAGAAATGTGAGGGGCAGGCACAAAGAGTACCTGAAGTTGAGGATGAGCGGAAAAGTACGAGTTTGTTCACAGAGCAGGTGTTTTCGGAAAACTTTGCAATTGCACAAAACAGAAAAAAAGATTGTCAAGATTGAGTTTGTCAAAGTAGAATAGGGTGAAGACAAATCAGTAACTAATAATTTGAGCATACATTTTATATATTCCCCAAAAAGAAGGCAGTTTGATTGGATGCACACTATTTGTAATCCAGCATACCAGGAAGCAGATTTGTAATTTCAATCAAATATTTAGTTTTTGCTGAAAGGCTTAAAAGTTTTGTCAAATCCAGTCACAACAACTTCCAAGAGCGCATCTGACTTCTTCAAAAGAAACTTACAGTAGTATCACAGGCATGGATGAAGAGATGCTGAACTTGGAAGTAGAGAACAAACCAATTTTGTATGATCCTAGTTATCCCTATTATGAAGACCCACAATAAAAAGAAAATGTCTGGGCAGAAACTGCATGTGTGATGGACACTGATGGTTTTTCAAGGCTAAGAACAGAGGACCCAGTTTTCGAAGCAGACAGACAGATTTCTCAAAAACGTTTATTAAGTAAATG